TGTTCCTGCAGATATAATGCAATACAGGTTTAAGAGAGCTGCATCATACACAGCAAGAACAGGAAGCATTACTAAGGTAGCCTGAAAAGGGTGGTATGTAATTCTTAAGCATTAGGTAACAGCTAAAAGTGCCTGGAATGGAATAAGGCTATGTGACTTTTCTCTGGAAAGATCCTAATAAAAAGCAGATACATAAAACTGATCACAGAAGGAACAGAAAAAAACCCATAAATATTATATTTATAATGCTTGTGAATATGTACCTTCATGGGAATTTTAAACCTAAAACATCACTATATTACAGCAGTTCTGACTGTTTATAGCTAGTCATGTCAAGCAAAAATAACTGGTAAGAAAATACAGCCCTAAATACAATCTTACTAAATTCTTCCTGCTAGCATTCTATGACAAAAGAAAGATGTTGCTTTCTTCACAGTATTAGACAGCTGATTAAAAAAAAGGCAAGACAAAACTCTCTTTTAATACAATATAATTATACCTATTTTTTAGAAGACACATAACTTAGATTTTCTTTCAGTATTAAACTGAGATGAAAAGACTTAAAAACTTTCAGAATTTTGAGATTTTTTTTATCTGCAACTGTTTGGAAAACTTAGAACACAGTGAAGACACAAAGCTTTTGAAAATCCCATTAGAACTTTTGTAGGCTTATATCACATACAAAAGCACATACAAGAATTTTACGTAACCTCTCTTTCAAAATGAGGAAACTCCAGAATTTCTGTGTGTTTTTGTTTGTTTGTTTGGGTTTTTGTTTGGTTGGTTTGGTTTTTTGTTTGTTTGTTTTTTTATGTTGTGTTTCCTATTCCCAATTTTTATATGCATATATAGCTTACAGCTTTTAATATCATGGTCACATACTTCATATTCCTTCAGATCCCAAAATCATCAGTGCTCAGAATAGCCAATGAACAACTACTCAATATTCATTTTAATCTCTTTTATTTAACATTAAACTGAGACACCATTGATCTTCTGGGAATCACAAACAACAGTTTCATGTAAAGTTTGGAGAAAAGACTTAATTATAAAGCCTTGTGAATTTTCTCTTCTCTCCTTTTCCTTTCCTCTTTCCTTTCAGCTCTTGCCTGACCTCAGACTCATCTCACCACCTCTCAGGTCTTGTGTTGGTTCCACTCCAATGAACCTCTCAGCTGCTGGGCTACCCATAGTGTGGCAGCACAAGTCTTCAAACACCAAAACAAAAATATGGTTCAGAATACAGACTGCTCCCTCAACCAGCTTGACTTTTAGCTGTCAGAGCAGTGTGCACACAGGGAAAGGGCATAGGGAACATGGTGCCAGAGCAGGACTTGGGCAATCCAGGGTGAGATTGACTTAAGTTGTTGTTGAACTACATTGTGAGTGACACAGGAACTTGTCTTTCCATGGCATGGGACTGTGCCATTAATCCATGCCTAAAGAGAAGGGAAACACACTCTTATGCTGAGAATACTAGACTCCATCCATACCAAAACTTTGTAAATCTTGCTAAAATCTGCTTGCCCTTCTGTCTGAACACTGACAGTGGCTTGGATAACAGAACAGAGGTAACATGAAAAAATTTATTACAACTTGTAAACAAATTTCCATGGGATTTTTGTTTTGGGAGGTATTTTCTGTTGTTGTTTGGGGGGACGGTTGTTTGTGGGGTTTTGATTTTTTGGGGTTTTTTTTTACGTTTATACAAGGTTTAAATGTGTTACAAAGCTCTTGTGCATTCATTCCAGCTCTACAGTGCCCTCCTGGGAGCCCCTGGTGGTCTAGGGGAAAGGTGCTGCGCTGTCACCGCAGAGACCCGGGTTCGAGTCCCGGTCGGGGCCCCTCCCCGGGCAGATGGAGCTCGTTAGCCCGTAAGGCAATCCATCTATGTCCTGAGGACCTCGCTGTCACTGTCCAAGCTCGCTTGGCCCTGGCAGATGAACCTCAGGATTAAAGGGTGGGCTCAGTTCCGCGTACACTGTGTCTCACCTAAAAAATCCAATGCGCAGGCTGGAAGGTGTAAAGACCTTCCCCGGTTCTTCGTTCGCGAAGACTGGCCATTCACAGCGCCGTCCATGGGGATCTCCTTGGCTAAACACAAGCTCAGAGACCAGCACGGAAGAACAGGATGAACCTGTAAGGTGCTCAGTAACAACAGGCACCTTTAGCTGTTAACTAATGCTTAAGAATTACATACCACCCTTTTCAGGCTATCTTAATAATGCTTCCTGTTCTTGCTTTATATGATGCAGCTCTCTTAAACCTGTATTGCATTATATCTGCAGGAACATACACACAGATGTTTGCGAGAAAAAGGAGTTTGTTCCAACTCCTACCAGCTAAAAAGCACAGGGTCCACAACGCACTGAGCAATACCAGTAGGTAAATACAGACTTCAGGAACAGAAGTTTCACTAAATATATATCAACGTGAATGTGTGAAAATACATAAATATGTGAATAGTTGCACAACCCACACTTCTCCACTAGATTCTGCAGAATAACATAAAATGATGCCCAGGTACCAAGATGATGAACAAGTGCTGCACTTATCTGTCAGTCAGCAGAGTTGTGGGAGGTAGAAATGAAAGGTGAATTTGAAACAGGAAGAACGAAGGGAAAGACAAATTCCATCTACAGACGGCATGGCATTGCTCTGCTGACCCAAGCAGAAAAGGTAACAAAAGTTGCAAACTGCCAGAAAAGGAAGTCATGTTATATCGCCATTAGTGGTCTTTCCGCATCACACAGAGTTTAAAATATGAATATACATTAGATTTAAATATTCATGCAATGTGTTAGAAAAATTCCTTTACATGTGGTAATTTACACAAACATACACATGAACAGAAAATACTGTACAACTACATGTATCGCTAAGTAGGATACTCTGCAGCTTCTCATATTAACGCTGGCATATGTATATATGATATTTCCAAACATTTCAAGGTTTTTTTTCTCTGTTTACTTCTTTAAAACTCACAAAATACAATGAAATTCACTTTTAAAACTGCAAAGACTGCTGTGTGCTTAAGCAAGCCATTATTTGCTTGCTCATAATCAGCTTTTCCCTGTCTGTTGGAATCACTGATGCATTAATTGCTTATCAAAACTTGAAACAGTTCATGAATCACTCCAAAGATAAAATAAATAAATATTAATGCACCAATTTCAATGGAATTCATGTCCTCTGCATCCTAAAGCTAAAAACTGTATTTACCACATGTCAGAATTAAGTCTTGATACCTAATAAATGGTAAAATATGAAATACAAAATATACTGACTGACTAGATCACTATTTTTCAAGAGATAATTGCATCATAATTTTATTTTATCAAATTAAAGATCAAAGAGAGAAAGGATTGGTCAATTATAACAGAGAAATGAACTGAAAGAGATGTCTAGGTCTGATGCAGCATGAATGAAAAATGAAGAATTTAGGGTTGAACTTTTGGAAGTGATTTTATATCAGATGATCTTAACAGAAGTAAACACATAATCTTCAAACAAACACATTAGTAACAAATATCATTACATAGGAAATTTTAGCATTCTTTACATTGTATGAATAAAGGGGAGAAGAGAGGCATAGAGTTTTCAGGAATAAGAAAAGTATTTCATTTTGGATCAATATAAAATGTTCATTAAGCCAAAACGCTAGGTGCAAGGCTCTTCAACTATTTAATTTCTTTACTAAAAATGAAATACAGTGATTTACACTACTTAGGAGTGTAAAAACTTTCATTTTTTTAAAACATGAGTGTGCTGAGAGATTTTTAAGTCTGGGCCCATGACAGTTCACTGCTGAAAATCCAAGTCTAAAACTTTTTAAATTAAATTACCCAGGATGAAGTAGGAAACACAAGTCCTTCCCTTGTGCCTTTACTTGCTTGTTCTAGCTTGTTCCTGAAAATTGTAGGCAAAAAAGACCCCACAAAAATCAAAGGGGCAACAGGGTATATCCGTGAAAGGCAACTGTAGCTCTGAAATCACTTGAATTAGACAGACATCAGTGAGCCACTTTTGAGCCAAACTGTTAGTGAAAAACCTTTTCCAAAAAAAGAGATAGTTTTCCTCAAGGAAGTTCAGCAGCAGGATATTATGGTTCATGTAGCTGGTTGGTATAAAGCAGATAAAATAGGAAATTCACAGAGTGAGCAATTTTCCGGTTACTCAGTGACTAAGCAGGATGAAGAATCAGTTTTAATAAACTCTGAGTCTTAGAAAGAAATGAAAAATGCTTTATTTATTATATTAGGTCAAGTTGTTTACTGTCAGAGGTCCTATCAGCTGCTTAGCAGAAGAAACTGCTTCAACCTCAGTAGTCACGTACTGAGGCTATGGCAGTCCTAGAAGTATTACTGCACCTCAGCTGATGCCACACCACAGGGACACCCAGACACACTCTTCAGACTTGTGTGTACCATAAAACTAAAGGCATCTCCCCAAACCAAGTTATCCAATCCAGCATTAAACATAGAATATGTCACTGTCAGTGAAGTCTGAATGTAAGAATACAGAGAAAAACACAATTACAAAACAGAATACAGATTAAAAATAATACATGAAAAATTTGAATTTTGATACTTAACCTTCGTAAATTAACAGATATACTAGGGCTTTTCCTAATGTGTAGCTAAGTAGTGCACACTTTCCCTAACAGTATCTTAAAGTTCTTTACTTCATGCATTCACAGGTAACAGAGCTCTCACATAACTTGCCTTTTTCTCTCAAGTATATATGTAAGGAAGGACTCAGTTTATGTTACAAATGAACTGTGCTACTTCCTCTGAAACCTAAATAATTATGGAAATATTATATGGAAAGTTATAGGTTCTCTAAGGCAGGCCAATAGTACCTAAAGTAGGGATTGCTTAAATTTATCATTATGTGCACACAGGATAACAATGAAGTGATTAGAAAATTTTCTTATGTTCATGAAAAACATTTTTTGTGCTCCTAAAAATTGCACTGTCAAATGAAGCTGAACTCAAGAAACAAACATGTTCTTCACCATAAAAGTGGCCAAACAAGTAAGAATTATCAGTCCCATTCTTCCTACTGTCACTGAGTGTGTATAAACCACCTTCTTACCTGCTCAGATAACTCTGGCCCATGGGTATGAGCCTGTACCAGAGCATCATTAACAAGCGAATGAAAGTTGAGAAGCACGTGCTCAACGTCGTGTGTTCCACTCATGGCGCTTGAGAGCTCCTCCAGGGACTGAATATATCCCCGCCAATGAAGATCAATTTCTGCTGTGTTGGCTAAGCAGCCCCGGATGATGTTGAGGCAGTAGCCCATGCAGGGCTTACTCATCATCAGTCCCTGGCAGTGGGGGCAGTACTGCATTCTCAGTAAAGCTCTGCTGCAGTCTTTGGAGAAATGCAGGTGATCCGTTGTATTGATCACTTCAATCCCCAAATTCAGAGCCTGCAAGAAAGTCCGGCTGGATAAGAGGGATCTTCCCATTTGACTTATGGCCTTTTTGGGAACACTGCCAAAGGGCCTGATGTCTCTTCTCGCCGTTCGTAGACACTCTGCATATTCCAGTGAAATGTCAGTCAGACCAGGGTTAATCACGTGGCTGTAGACTACTGGAAACAGGGTGTCAAAAAATCGATTCACAAATTCCTCTGTGCTAATGTCTGTGCCAAATACGAAGAGTCCAACATCAGTGAAAAACTCCTGAACACGCACAGTAGCCTCAGCAGCCATGTTTCTATATGCAGTGCAGAAAAGTGTGCTTGTGTAATTCTCAGCCAGTCTGATAAGCATTTCAAAGGTTTCTGTAATTAATAAATCAATCAATCAGTCAATTATTATTTTTAAGGTTTAAAAAAATAAGAAATTAGAGTAATAAGAACTTAAAACAGTTACATTACGACAACTTACATTTATCCCAAATGAATTTTTGCATTAGAATTTTTCAAGAGACAAACTTCTCACAAATTATGACAATTGTCTTTTGTATACAGGGAAACACTTTACAAATAATGTTATAACACAATTAATAATCCATATGTTTTCCTTGCAGGTTATATTAAACACAGCCTAAAAGAAAGACATCTCCTAGGATGCAGCAGTCCAGAAAAGCAAAGATGAAAATTTAAATCAAATTGAATCTTGGTTTAGATGGTTTTAAATAATGAAGTGTGAAGAATATTATAGGTTTATATGAAAATAGCTATTTTTGTAACTGTAAATTCAGTCCTTTACACAAATTTTGCCAATACTTTAGATGAAAATTGTTAGGTAATATTAGCAAAATAATGATGTTTCAATAATATCAATAGAAGTACATTAATAAGGTTTTTATGACGCTTTTTTTTTATTACTACTTTTCCTAGATGAAAACCATAAAGTATGTGATCTAAAATGTCTCTCTCCCTGGCTGCAGTATCCTATTACCAAGAGCACAAATAGTAGTTGAAAGAATAAACCGTGCTGCAGATGGATAATCAATAGATTTTACAATATGGTATAAACAATAACAAATCTTCAATATTCAGCTAGATTGCTAGTGCCTCAGCAACCCCCGGGTGAATGAGTACAATAATCAACTGTATCATTGATTTGCTATTTGTGCTTTTCTAAACAGGACATTTTGATACTGGCCACTTGTGTTTACAATGCTGCGTCATGCTGTTTAACTGTCATTTTTGGATTTGTTTAAAAATTTGTTAATCAGGTTTATTTTACTGTCACATTTTCTACTTTATAACCACCAAGGCTATTGCAGAGATTTGTTTTGCTCTCAGACAGTCTGACAGACAGCAAAGCAGACCTACGTTTACTTTCAATACTGAACAGCACCTATGAATACCTTACGATGGCAATCTATGTCATTTATAACACATGTAGATCCTC